ATAACTTGCCATAGACTCCAAGTAAGTAAAAATCGCACGCTAATGAAACAAAATAGGCAACTTAGAACAACAAAGACTTACCTCCAACAAAAATGTCTACTAACGTCTAACACAGATGTGTCTGATCTGCTAAATTCTGCCAGCCAGTGCAAGAAAAAAATGTGTCTGCTAATTTTTTAACCCGCCAACCTGGGATACAAAAACGAGGCTCGCGAATGTCACAGGTAAGTTTGTCTACCTGGTATGTATTCACCTGAGCCGATACACTTGTCGAGGGCACCGTATCGCAGAATGATTTACACCCGTAATGGAGGGTCCTTGATAACGATCAGAATAAGGGTTGGAGGGGGGGGGGGAGTGGTTAAGTGGGTTTGAGAGGGGTGGGGGGGGGTTGATCGATTGCAAGTAAAATCCTGTAGGACAACAGAGATTTAGTTTTAAAGACAAGTTTCTCTGAACTTTTAAGACTACTTTCACATAGCTATTTAGATAACTTTCACTTAGCTATTAAGACAACGTTTACGTAGCTTTTAAGACAACTGTCACTTAGCTATTAAGATAACTTTCACTTAGCTATTATAACAACTTTCACTTAACTATTAAGACAACTTTCACTTAGCTGTTAAGACAACTTTCACTTAGCTGTTATAACAACTTTCACTTAGCTATTAAGACAACTGTTAATGAACTTTTAAGACAACTGCCACCGAGCTATATAGAAAACTTTCACCAAACTTTTAAGACAAATGTCAGTGAACGATTTAAGACATCTATCACTGAGCTTGAAAGACAGTTATTATTGAACTTTTAAGACAATTTTCACTTAGCTATTAAGACAACTTTCACTTAGCTATTAAGACAACTTTCACTTAGCTATTAAGACAACTGTTAATGAACTTTTAAGACAATTTTCACTTAACTTCTATGCCAACGTACTAAATTTCTCTCTTTGACAGATTTGATAAACACATGACCTTCACCTTTCACCTCCCAAAACCAACACCGCACCAAAGAAACGTAAACACAACGCTGTCCACCTACCCCACCAGAACGTACAATTACCTTACTTAAAACTGGCAGCTTACCCTAACCTAAACATAACGTAAGCATAGCAATTTCAATTTAATTTTTAAAACTTAAATCCAAACTGCTTTAACCTTATAATTATATCAAGTATGGTGTCCTGCCCCCCCCCCCCCTCTGTATTCGTTTAAAACGGGATCCACCGGGCTCGTAGACTGAATAACACCTGAAGGTCAGGAGATATGGTCGTCAGAGACGGGAGGTGATTCTGACATTCTTTGCTACCAGTGTTTCTTCCAGACTTTTTTCTCCGGGAGGGGGGGACCCGATATTTCCGGGGGAGGGGGGGGGGGTGTCGGACAACATCCGGGGTGGGGGGGCGGACACTGGTATGTTTTCTATAAAAATTCAATTTCGTTCAGGCGGGGGGGGGGGGGGGGAGAGGGGGAAGGCAGTAGATCTTCTTCGGGGGAGGGGGGGGGCGAAGATATGCCTGAAAGAAACTCTGCTTACTACTTGACTTTAATAATCCATTGTGGTCACTGGGGAGCAAAGGGCTGCAATCACACCTCTCCAGCGAACTTGTTGAGCAGCTCCCCTTATCTGTGTCCACGTGAGACCCTCTTCCTTTACCGTTCTTCTCCATGATCTCTGGCCGGCCCACACTCCTCCTCCCCTGGGGATTCCACTCTTAGCTTTCTTTGCGGTATTTCTTCTTCCCTTCTAATGACAAGTCCAATCAATTCCCATTTACAGACTTTGAAGTCCTTATCTATTGGCTGTTGTGTTGTGTTTTGCCGCAGGTCTTTATTTGATATTTTGTCTGGTCATCTTATTTTAAGGTTCGGTTGTATTTATCATCAATCATTAATAATTGTGGCTAATCCCTGCCTCTACTCCCAGCTGATAATTAAAACTGTAATTAATTTATTCGTAGCCGGTAATTACTCGTTGAAATGCAGGTTAGATTTATCCTAGTGACAAATAATGCCACACTATTGGCATTTTCATAGCAGTAGGGCTGTTAAGTAAATGGTGGTAAATTATTAATTAATTAAAAGCCCAGCATGTCTACTGACATGCATTAAAGAACACGTTTCTATATTTATTTGTTGCTTATTTCCCTTTTCTACAATTACTCTTGTTTTGTTTTGTGTTCAGTATTTTCTTGGTTGTTTCCCTTTGCGAGATACAGACAGACTGGCATAGCCAATAATTCTATGGGATTTTGCCAGACTTCTCCGGGGGGGGGGGGGGGGGACATGAAATTTTCGAAGGGGGTGGTAGACTTTCTTCGGGGGGGGGCGGACACTGTTAAAAGTATATATTTTCTATATTTTCTATATTTTCTATATAAATTTTATAAATTTCATTTCGTTCGGGGGGGGGGGGGGGGGGGGGGACGGTATAAACTCTGCTAATATCAACGTTAATGCTATCCCCATAGTTAACCGAACTCAAAACATAATTCTAATTCAACACAATTAAGCTTGCGTTAGGCCTATAGTTTATTCCTGAAATCCCGGCACCCCTAATTTCGGGTGAGTCCATTGTTGGACACTGACGCATGTATCGGAAAAGAAATCCCTGCATTAGAAGTGGGTTCAATCCGAGTAACAAGATTTGCCACAGACTCTCAAACACACAAGCAGTGGCGTAGCCAGGATCGTCTCAAGGGGGGGGGGGTGGTTCCTATTTTTACCCGGGGACAAACTTTCGATTTGCACCCCCCCCCCCTCAAACTTTCGATTTACACCCCCCCCCCCCCCTCGAACTTTCGATTTGCTACCCCCGCTCATACTTTATATATATATATATATATATATATATATATATATATATATATATATATATATATATATATATATACCGAGGGGTCTATGAGGGGGGTTATGACCCCCCCTAACCCCCCTGCCTACGCCACTGACAAGTAGACATTATGAACCATGTTGTCAGATTACAAGAACGGCTGGAAATGAGGTCATCTTGGTCTGGAACTGAGTAGAAAAATGTAGTAGCTACATCGTTTACCTAGTCGGATATTCTTTGTGTAACTGGAAACCGCCCTCCCCCCCCTTTTCCAATGTCTAACATAGCCTTTCTACTAACTCTCTCCCCACCGCCAAGTGTTTCTTTCATACTGTTTTCCCGGGTGGGGAGCGGGGGTATAATAGCACTTGAAACTTTCCGTAGGTAGCGGGGGAGGGGGGGACACAGGGATAAATATATATATATATATTTTTTTTTTCTATATCTATATATATAATTCTCTTCTGGGAGCCGTTAGAATACAAGCTGCAAGCGCGCGCCTTGCAGTCCCCTCTCTTCCTCTCTATCGCTACCACCCCCCCCCCCCCCACTCCCCATCCCCTCACATGATCAGGTGAGTTGTAGTTCACGCTAAATGTTTAGTTTGGTGACGGCTATTAGGGGCAGATATTTCAGTTTGAAACTATTTTAAACTTAGAGGAGGTAACTAAGAGGAGGCTGCTTTCACGGGGGGGGGGGAGGGGGGGGGGGATGGGGGTTTAGTGTTTTAAAGCAAATATTTTCAGTGGCAGCTTTGGTACTGTCGAATTCACAAATTATGAATTACTGAAAAGTAGAAAAAACAACTAAATAGCGGCGTATGATACACCGCGGGTCGGCTCGTACATTCTATTTCTTTCGGATGGGTGTGGGGGGGGGGGGGGGAGAGAGGATTAGAGGTGCTTCGGGGGATGGTCGGTGCACTCCCCAAGAAAAACCTGAAAGAAACACTGCCCCCACATTTGTATTGTATAGAGTGGTCGCAAACACGTCTTTATCTTAACTGTTGTTGTATTGTGTAGTCTTTATATTGCTTTTTTTTTTAATTAAAAAAAATTGCACCTATGGCGTAACATGTTTTTTTTAAAAATATTTTTATTGTTTTATCTGATTTTTGGCAATTAATTAATACTGTTTAATATCAAAGTAAAAAGTATAAATGTATCCAATATTGACCCGCATTTGCCAATACTTTTCTATATTATCTTGTGGAACAGCGTGGTCGGACGATTGAGCGATCGACTGCTAGCTTTTAATCGTGGGTTCGGATCCCGGATTCGAGATCTGTAGTCTACTCAGCTTTGATGGGTACCTGAATAACGTTATGATTAGTAAAGCTAGGCTATGCATTGACAATATTTCTTTAAACGCCGAGGTCACAGAAGCAGATGAATAGACCAACTGGCCACCAAAGCTTAAAGTTTATACTAGGTGCTAAGGACAAAGTAAGACCTCGTTAGCCAGGACTTCTGTCCATCTTACAAGTTGAAAAATTATTCTGATTATTCTGTTAAAATGTCGCTAAAGACCATTACGTTGTTTTCTGGTCTATTTAATTCAATTGTGCAGTGGTGTTTGTGTTTATGAACCAGAATTCCGTATATTTTATTTGTCTTTTCTTATGTAATGTATTCATTTCCATTGTAGATTTTCAGTGTTTCCTTGTATATGTGCCTATGTCCACCCCCCCCACCCGCTATAACTAAGGGGTAATTGAGTCTGGCTTTGTATTTTTATTTCTAAATCGTGTAGGTTTACCCTACTTTTATGTTTGTTTTTTTATACTGTGTCCTGTTTCAAATCTTGTTTTAAAAATAAAATACCTGATAAGTTCATTTGTAATCGTGCTGAGATATTTTTCGAGATTTTCTACTTAGTAGCCTACTTGGGTATAATGCTTAACTTAATGAAAGCTGCTCGTTTGAATCAGTGTTTATCTCCGGGGGGTGGGGGAGATATTTTCGGAGGGACGACAACATTTTATGAGGGGCGGACACTAGTAAAAGTATACGTTTTCTATATAAATTCCATTTTGTTCGGGGGGGGGGGGGGTAGATTTTTTTTGGGTGGGGGGGGGGGGGGGAAGGGTCGCATCCCCCCCCCCCCCCTTCCCCGAAGAGATGCCTGGAAAAATCTCTGTTTTGAATATTATATTGTTGAAATACACGTGAGTCAAATATCAATGTTTTATTTCAAATCTATTGCCCCGTTATATCATGAGTCCTCTTGTGTACTAACGGGTCTTGTACAAGACATCCACAGGGAGGGCTAAGTTTCTAGTGTTACTTTGCTATTTAGAGTACATCTGTGAAGAGAAATATTGTTGGTTACAAAGTGCAATATATAACATAGTAGATAACACACAAAAAACGGTGTTACTATACATACTTTTCCGAGTTTCTTCATATCAGTATTGCGAATAATGTCAAGTCTAACGTTATGTTAAACCTAAATCTAACTTATTGTGAAATTATAATCGTTGAGTACAAGTTAGCCATTGATTTTTTAAACCGTTTTGTTTTTGAAATTGGAGAGATACAGCGTAGAGATACTAAAAGATGATTATAATTAACTATATAAGTTACTGAGAAGATTCAATGATTCTAAATAACAAGACGAATGACTTGTAAGATTCGATGTCTAACAAGGTTCTAGATAAGTAGATAAGATACTGAGAAGATTTGAGTATTGAGAAGGTTCTTAAAGTTTAGGTGAATGACAGAGAAGATTCGAATATTAAAAAGGTTCTAAAAGTCTAGACCAATGTGAAAATATTCGAGTATTAAGAGGGTTCTAGAAGTCTAGAAAGAAGACTTTCAGAATTAGAAGGTTCAAGTTGCATGGATAAAAACTGAGAAGATTCGAGTATTGAGAAGGTTCTAGAAGTCTAGAAAGAAGATTATTGGAATTAGAAGTTTCTAGAAGACTAGACGAATGACTTAGAAGATTGGAGCATGGAGAAGGATAAAGATTCCTAGATGAATCACTGAGAAGATTGAGAAATGTTTAGAATAAACTGACTCAAGATAAGATCGTCCCTCTGAACTTTGCAGGATTGGATGCTGTTGCAGCAGTAGGTGCAGTGGGCGTTGAAGGGGCAGTTGTTGCTCTCGTGGTTCTGACAGTCCTGGAGGAAAATTGGAAACTGTTAGTACCTGATAATGGTAGAACAAGTGTGTTTACCTATGGGTGATGTGTTTTCCTGTGATGTGTTTACCTCTAATGTGTTTACCTGTTAGAGATGTGTTTGCATATGAGTTATGTATTTATCTGTGAGATATGTGTTTACCTCTGACTATTGTGTCTACCTCTGACTATTGTGTTTACTGGTGAGAGACGTGTTTACATGTGAGTGATGTGTTTACCTGTGACTATTGTGTTTACCTGTCATATATGTGTTTACCTATTAGATATGTGTTTACCTGTGACTATTGTGTTTACCTATTAGATATGTGTTTACCTGTGACTATTGTGTTTACCTATTAGATATGTGTTTACCTGTGACTATTGCGTTTACCTATTAGATATGTGTTTACCTGTGACTATTGTGTTTACCTATTAGATATGTGTTTACCTGTGACTATTGTGTTTACCTATTAGATATGTGTTTATCTGTGACTATTATGTTTACATGTCAGAGATGTGTTTACCTGTGACTATTGTGTTTACCTGTGAGTGATGTGTTTACCTGTGAGTGATGTGTTTACCTGTGAGTGATATGTTTACCTGTGAAGGATGTGTTTACCTGAGAGAGATGTGTTTATCTGTGACTATTGTGTTTACCTGTGACTATTGTGATTATCTGTGAGTGATGTGTTTACCTGTGAGTGATGTGTTTACCTGTGACTATTGTGTTCACCTGTGACTATTGTGTTCACCTGTAGAATATATATTTACCTGGGGCGTTGAACAATGATATTCAAACTTTGCGGGGTTTTTGTTTTCAATACGTAGCTCGCACACCTGGGAACAAAAGTTGTTTATGTTAATGCGTTCAGACATGATTGAGATAATTAATTAAGGTTAAGTTTGTAATTAGATATACACAATTCAACATGCATAGTTAGATATTTTATCGTATGGTGTATGTAAACAATTCGACAACCTATTGGCCGTCTAAATGTCAACTGTCCTATAATCAATTAGTCGTCTAAATGTCAACTGTCATACAATCTGTTGGCCGTCTAAATGTCAACTGTCCTATAAGCAATTAGTCGTCTAAATGTCAACTGTCCTATAATCAATTAGTCGTCTAAATGCCAACTGTCTTACAATATATTGGCCGTCTAAATGTCAACTGTCCTATAATCAATTAGTCGTCTAAATGTCAACTGTCATACAATCTGTTGGCCGTCTAAATGTCAACTGTCCTATAATCAATTAGTCGTCTAAATGTCAACTGTCATACAATCTATTGGCCGTCTAAATGTCAACTGTCGTATAATCAATTAGTCGTCTAAATGTCAACTGTCATACAATCTATTGGCCGTCTAAATGCCAACTGTCATACAATATATTGGCCATCTAAATGTCAACTATCCTATAATCAATTAATCGTCTAAATGTCAACTGTCATACAATCTGTTGGCCGTCTAAATGTCAACTGTCCAATAATCAATTAGTCGTCTAAATGTCAACTGTCATACAATATGTTGGCCGTCTAAATTTCAAGTGTCATACAAACTGTTGGCCGTCTAAATGTCAACTGTCCTATAATCAATTAGTCGTCTAAATGTCAACTGTCATACAATCTATTGGCCGTCAAAATGTTAAGTGTCATACAATCTGTTGGCCGTCTAAATGTTAACCGTCCTACGGTATATTGGCCTTCTAATGTCAATCGTCTTGAATCCCCTATAAACCGAGAGATTGGCCACATAGACAGGTGGGGTAGACAGGTGGGGTAGACAGGTGGGGTAGAAAGGTGGGGTAGACAGGTGAAGTAGAGTGTAACAGTGTGAGCGTTACCTCGTGATTATTACCACAGTCCTGTGTGCCCGTGCAGGAATCTGGGTCAGTGTGGTCTACGCAGACTGGACAGGTGAGTGCATTTACACCTGGAGCATACAGATATAAATGAAGCGGGAGTGATCTCCTCTAAACGTTCTCAAATATTCTTATATAAAAGTTCGGGGAATGGCAACTCGGGATATAGACATGCTTTTTAATTAGTTTTTACATACTTAAACATACTTAAACTTTTTACTATAGAAGAGAATCTCGTAGAAGAAAAGAATTGCGCACCAACTGAACTGATCGTATACTAGAATATTAGTACTTTATTAGCTTTTTTTGAGAAATAGAAATAGCGTTAAGTACTTCTACATACTTCCGGTCACAGGTAATTTCTCAAAATTTGATAGAAGGCAGAGAATTAGATCTTTCACTTATATGTGAAATTTCATCTGCCTATCAGAAACAGTACTCAAGTTATAGACTTTTACAAATTTGAAAGTTTAATAAGTTCCACTTCCCGTTACTGGAAATCGCTGAAAAGTTGATATAGATATTTATGAAAGTTCACAAACTTAGGTGTTCACAGACATACACACACACACATAGACATACGGACACAATTTGCCAATTGAACGTTTTTTTTTCGACTCGGAGATGTCTAAAAAGTGGATGCATACGTTTAAAACATTTACTGATGCATCCATTATGTTAATCCCGTGGCTATTCGAGAGCTCTATCGAATAACATTAGTCAGTACTGATGCCTTGGGTTATCCGGCCCGTAAAATCTGCTATAAAATATTTGTAAACATTGCACGATAATACCAACTCACAAGAAAAACGTAGTTCTAGCTACTTGCCAGTTACCTCCCTGCTTGTTGTTGAATAAACTCTTTAAATTAATGGCTAATTTAATAATAAGCAGATGAAAATCAGATATTATTGCCTTGTCTTTGATTTAAAAAACACGACAATTAAAATAGGTAAAAAAATGGTTACAAGCCAAAAACAGAGAGACAAAAAAAAACAACAAAAAAACAAGCAAATAGAAAGACAGACAGACAGACCAAACAGACTGGTATTGTGATCACACAAAAAAAAAAACAAAAAAAAAAACAACTGACCGTACGAAACAGCAAGCGTAAAGAGAATGAAAACGGTTAACTTGGACATGGTATAGCTCGTAGATAGATTCTGTGGCAAATTATTTTTTACGATTTTATCTGTTCTGATCAGTTGAAGCCAGTTTATATCTTGCTTTATATGGGCGACCTCTTATCTTGAAGCTCTAATAATGGATTTTAAAAAAAAATAGTTCATGTAAATTGATAGTGACAATAACTGATAAGAGAACATTTGTTTTGGTTTCATTTGAACGTTTTAACAAAAAAATAAATAAAAAAAAATGTCAGGAATTGTGTTAAGTTTAGAACATTTAGACAAAATTGCAGCATACTAGAATAGAACATTTAGACATTGCAGCATACTCAGGTAGACTATTTAGACATTGTAGCATTTTAGGATAGAACATTTAGACAACATTTTAGCATACTGGAGTAGAACATTTAGACAAAACTGTAGCATACAAGGATATAAAATTTAGGCAACATTGTAGCATACGACGATATAACATTTAGACAAAATTGCAGCATACTGGAATAGAACATTTAGACATTGCAGCATACTCAGGTAGACTATTTAGACATTGTAACATAATGTGCAGAACATTTAGACATTGTAGCATACTGAGATAGAATAATTAGAAACTGTAGCATTCTGAGGGGAACATTTAGAAATTGTAGCATACTTAGGTAGAACATTTAGACATTGTTTCATTTAAAAATAGAACATTTAGACAACATTTTAGCATACTTGAGTAGAACTCTTAGACAAAACTGTAGCATACAAGGAAAGAACATTTAGACACATTTGTAGCATTCAAGGATATACAATTTAGGCAACATTGTAGCATACAACGATAGAACATTTAGATAAAATTGCGGGATATTAAGATGCTTGTCTGTATGACATTCAGTATGTTACATTATGCTTTGCTATACTTTCATCTATGTGTTCGTCTGAATGTTATTTAGTATTTTCTATTGTAAAGTTATCTTAAACATATATTTTACAGTTGTTTATTTGTGTGTCGGTATTTTTGTATGTAGAGTCGTCCAGTTTGCCCAACAGCATTTGTTTCCCTAACGTGATTCAGGTACCCATCGGAATTGAGTGGTCTCAGGGACGGTCTACACACCCACGCCCGGGATCCGAACTCAATGTACGGGTTAGCAGTCGAACACTCGGCCGTTTGACTACGCCTTGTAAAGTATATAGACAACTTTTAAATACGCACAGACTACATATTACATTTAAGTTAAGCACTGCATTTATAATTGAGGAACAATAACAGCAGTTAATAATAATTTACTGAAATAATGGACTTTACACATTTTTGAACATTACTCATACCTAACACTAACGCTTATTCAAAGCTAACCCTAACGCTTTTTCAAACATAACCTCAACGCCTAATCGAGCTTAACCCCAATGCTTATTCAAACCTAAGCCTAACCCTTATTCAAACCTAACCCAACGCTTATTCAAAACTAACCCTAACCCTTATTCAAACCTAAACCTAACTCTTATTCAAACCTAACCCTAACTCTAATTCAAACCTAACCCTAACGCTTATTAAAACCTACCCCAAACCTTATTCAAACCTAACCCTAACTCTAATTCAAACCTAACCCTAACGCTTATTAAACCTACCCCAAACCTTATTCAAACCTAACCCTAACTCTAATTCAAACCTAACCCTAACGCTTATTAAAACCTACCCCAAACCTTATTCAAACCTAACCCTAACGCTTATTAAAACCTTATTAAAACCTACCTCAAACCTTATTCAAACCTAACCCTAACGCTTATTAAAACCTTATTCAAAACTAACCCTAACGCTTATTAAAACCTTGTTAAAACCTACCCCAAACCTTATTCAAACCTAACCCTAGCGCTTATTAAAACCTTATTAAAACCTAAACCCAACACTTATTAACCTAACCCTAACGCAACACTCTTGGCTCGTGTAGTGCCACATGAAAGCAAACTGATCTAAATCATGTACAGAATCGTGAAACTGCGACGTCAACATGACCTCAATACATCCGAGCTAAGGTTATAACCTTCAAGTCTTATTGGTCTAACTTCATAGAATGAGCTGGAACACTTGGAGAAAAAATAAAATCGTGATCGACAGATTTAATCGGATAAAACTCCGGTAGTATTTTTTAAATTGTGTGTTCCGTATTTCAAGGACTTAAAAGAACATTATTTGTTGTTTCTCTTAGTAATTATAAATTTATAAATCAGAATCTACATTAATTTGTATAAGTTCGTGCTTTTTATTTTAACATTTGAAGGTGCTGTCAATGTCTATAAAAATTATGTTATACATTATCACACAGATTGTTCTATTTTAATTTAACAACGCATTTAACTTACTTTAATCAAATGACTGGAGTCAGCAGCGTAGCCCGGATCGTCTCATGGGGGGGGGGGGGGGGTTCAATTTTTTTTCCTTTTTTCCAGCAGTATATAACCCGGGGACAGGCTTTTGATTTGCACCCCCCCCCCCCCCCCGATGGATCTATGGGGGGTTATGGCCCCCCCCTAACCCCCTCTGCCTACGCCATTGACTGGAGTGTAGGATGATACCGACTTTAATAGGCATGAAAAGTGTCTGTAATCAAACTAAATTTATGGAAAAAATCTTGTAAAAAATAAATATGGCAAGCGATAAAAATTATAGTTACATTTGTAAAAATTAAAGTCTTTTAGGAACCATCGATTACACTCATTTTTATACTTTTTTAACGAATACAAGTCGTTAAAAAGCAATTTAGAATTATTTTATCGATTCAAATATTTTCATAAACTGCCCTCAACCTCTCCTTAAAGTCAACCGGAATGGCCAGGGAGAGCAAAGCAATAAAAGTCAGAACAATTGTTTTTCCATGACAAAATACATGCTAGTTATCTATGATGTATAACGCAGTATTGTATTTATATTAACTAATATAAAATCCCCTATCACCACAACACCCTCACTCTATTAATCTAAATTAAAAATACAAGTGTTTGCTAAATTACTATTATATTACTATTAAGGGGTCGGCGTGGTCGAGTCGGTAAAGCTCATGGTTGCTAAACCAAAAAGTCTCGAGTTCGAACCCTCGTTAGCTGGGGACAGCCACTCTTCTAGTTTATTTAAAATAATAAAATAATCCAATATTTATTAAATGTATATGACATACAGTGTAAAAAAAAAATTATTTTATTGAAGAAGTAAAACGTTTGTTTATTAGACTTAGAGTTTATAACTTCAACTCAGCAGTTAGCGCTTTAGAAAGCGTGTGTGTAGATGTGGTTTCAGCACATTTGTGAGCAGCTCATGTAGCCCCAACGAGTACACGAACATTCGACACATTCGTCAGGTTGGAACGTCTCATATTGCCTGAACACCTGTAACGTGTAATAACATATAACATACTTCAGGTAAATGTGAAGGTGATTTTTTTTTAAATTGGGACGGAACGGCATAGCGGTAGAGAGTTAGACTGCGTTACCATAAATCTCGAGTTCGAATCCGGGTTCAAGTCAGTAGACCTTCCCTGAGTCCACCCAGCTCTGATGGATACCTAACTCAAGGAAAGTAAAGGCGGATGGGCATAGTGCTTACCATAATATCTATTCATATGACGAGGTCACACTTGCCCCATACCGTCAGGTTTGGAAGAGGAACTTTAATAATATATTTTTCTTTCTTTTTTTTAATTGAATAAATTATTTTAAACATATTTTCAAGTAGTACCGTTGTTATTAAAAATATGTGTTTCTTCCAGACATTTTTCTCCGTGGGGACAATTGCTATTTTATAGGGGGAGGGCGGATTGAATTTTCCGGGGGCTGGGGGGCCGGACTGAATTTTCCGGGGGGGGGGGGGGGTGGGGGGTGGCGGCGGACACTATTAGCAACAATATTAGCTAACGAGCCGACCCGCGGCGTATCATACGCCACTATTTCATTGTTTTATTTTCTACTTTTCAGTAATTCATAATTTGTGAATTCGACAGTACCAGTGCTGCCACTGAAAATATTTGCTTTAAAACACTATCAGTAGCTCGTTAAGGACGATAACCCCCCCCCCCCCCCACCCTAATTTCCCTAAACCCCACCCCCCCCCCCCCACTTCCGTGAAAGCAGCCTCCTCTTAGTTACCTCCCCTAAGTTTAAAATCGTTTCAAACTAAATTATCTGCCCCTAATAACCGTCACTAAACCCGGCTCTATGATTGTAAACATTTAACGTGAACCATAGCTCACCAGACCATGTAAGGGTGGGGGTGGTAGGGATATGCCTAGAGAGGAAGAGAGGGGGCTGCTAGGCGCGCTTACAGCTTGGTGTTTTCTAGGGTAGCCTATCCAAGAAGAGAACTATATATATATAGATACACGGTAATGTGATTAAACAATGTTAGCAAATACACGGCCTTAATAGCGCATAACCAGTTGACACGAATACTTAATTGCGTTGGAGGAACTCTCTCCCCACAGTACAAATAAGAACGAAAAAGAAGAAGAAAATGTCTAGAAAATATGATTTACCCGCCCATCCATGTCACACGTTACTTCTGCTATGGCTGTCTCCAGACAGTACATGGAGAGTAGTAGAATTACAATGAGAAGTTTCATGGTCTGAAACAAACAAGTTTTCATATTTTATGACATTGCATTAGATTTGCATTCGTCAATCTAAATATTTAAAAAAAAATGTTTGTTTTTTAAACTTTCAATTTAACAATTGGTATCATACTTGCATTTTGTATATCTTAAACAAAAATAAAATATAATATGATTTATAAACGAAAAAAAAAGTATTATAATTTTCCTTTAACAATGTAAGCAATGGGATTTTTTATAACATGGACAGATCTGACAAGTTCGAGTCATCATAATATTAAAATTAAAGTGAAATTTGTTTTCTGACATTATATCTGAAACTTCTTTGTTGCTAATTCGATCTTGGCGGTGTATATGGCAAATAAAAAAGTTGTATACGTTTTTATGTGACCTCTTCAAATGAAGTCATAGTATGGTCAGCACTATGCCTAGCCGGCTTTGCTTAACCAAACGTGAATCAGGTTCCCATTACAGTGGGGTTGACTAAGGGA